CGAATATGATAGTAGTTTAAAATTTTGCTCAAAAGCACCTTCTCCTTTAAAGTACGCACAATATTACCTCACTGCCTTAGTAAACCCCTAGTTTTAGAATAGAACGTCTGGAACAGCTTGATTCACGCTTCTTGGGGTGGCAGTAAACGAAAGAAAAAAAAAAAGTCAAACAAAGCTAGTACTACAGCATGGATAACGTAAGGAGAGAAAAGCCTTAGAGAAAAGGTAGGAGAAGTAAACGATGGAAAAGCAGCCGAAAAGTTGGTTATTACAAATCGACGTATTTTACACAGTGTGGCGTTTTGGGCAGAGAGTGAACAGTAGAAGCGCACAGTTCTCGACACAGATGCGATGATGGCAAAAACGTGCCTCTCGGCAGCAACAACTGTCGTAAATCAGCCAGGGATCTTTTTGTGGAAAATTGAACAGCAACAAAAAAGCAAAAAAAGAAGAAGAAGAAAAAAAAAAAAGCTGTTCCGGTGCATTCAAATCATAAAACATAAATAAAAATTGCATCCGCAAAAACGATCAATGTGAATACAAATAGCGTTATGCAATGGAATGAATGCTTATACGGAATGTGGTTTGCTAAGTGAGAGCAGTTAACTGAAAAATTGACAAAACAAATAAGCAACAAACAAAACAACTCTCTGTTCAGAATCTCTCAAATAATTTGTATGCTTTTAAAGTTAATAAAGGGAAATTTTGTAAAAAAAAAAAAAAAGCACAAAGCTCACCTCTCTTTCCCCACACTCCCTTTCGATGTATTTTTTTTTTCCCCCTTTACAATGACCAATGAATTGAAAAAACAAAGAAACGTACCATCTAACAATAATACCAATTATCTATATTTAAAACCAAAATAATTTATATCTAAACAAAAAAATTGAAAAAAAAAAAAAAAAAACGGCGACAAAACTCAACTATTGATTAAATACTAACAGATCACTAAATTAGTTTGGTGGATATACAGTTGTAAAATGACAGAAAAGAAAAAAAAAAAAAAACTATTGAATGCAATGCGATGAACGGCATTTAAGCAGATCAAATTTTCTACAATTATTGGCAATAATAGCCAAAAAAAAAAGGCTGAACCTCTCATTTATTCAGCGACGATATGGAACAAAGTTTTCAATATTTATAGATCAATGAATACAGAATGAAAGAATGAAACGACGACAACGAAAAAAACAAAAAAAAAAAAAAAGAAGAAAAACTGAAAAGATAATAAAAACCAAAATTAATCCGCTTCACACGTTCGTTGCCTCTGTTTCACTGTGCGTTTCATTCTAAAATGTCATTCTGACTCCCAAATTTACCCATTGTTATGTCCAACAATTCATTTTGCTTGCTCTATCCAATTTAATACTGTCTAAGCAATAACCTAAGACTACATGTCATATTGAAAAGTTGAAAAAAAAAAAAAAAGAAAACAAAAGAAAACAAAACGAAGCAACAAAGGCAACAGTAAAGAAGTTACGACAAAAGCAATTGATTTGAAGTGATTGCCAACAGCACCACTGTGTTAATATTAGGGATGGACCTGTAGCTGAAGAAAAAAATAGCTATTTTTTCTTTTTTCAAGACTCTTCGTCAAAGATCAATTTGAAGACTGTAAATAATACAAGTAAATTTCAAGAATTCGACACCAATCTTGTCACCGTCTCCTCCGCCAAACTGTGTGTTTAAAATTGTTGCAATCTCTAAATGCTTCTTTATTGTTTCAGTGTTTTCGTTGATTTGAAGAAAAAACCGAACAACAATATTTGTGCTGAAAAATTCCCTCATTAACATTGCTGAAGTATTAGTGACTTTTTTTTTTTACTACAGCGACTTTCGTCGACATTCACTTTGGGTCCTCTTGTCTGCTGCTCAGACAACGTCAAATGTGCAACTCGGTTAATAACACCATACATCTTCAAATTTTCCATCATCATCATCATAGGTCCCGATAATATACAGCAACACCAGTAGTGGTAGCAGTAACATAGCTTCAGTATATCTGTCATAACAATGTTCATAAATGAACAGTTGCATAGACTGCATCGACGATATGACCAGTATTTTAATTGTTTATTTAAAGTCTGTTAAACAAAACGAAGGAAAAAAAAAAGTTATGTTAGTTGTTCATCGAGAACAAACAAAAACAACGAAAAAAAAAAAAACGAGCTAAGCATAACATAAATTCATGATAAGAACAAAATTTAACTAATTACTTATCAATTATTTGTCGATCGAAACTAACAGCTGAGCAGTATAAAACTACGCAGCAATGCCAACTTATTGAGGTGCCAAAGAAAAAGATGATGGTATTTCCATTTCACCTCCACAATTTATTTTTATTTTCGATATCATTTGAGTCATCTGTTTTCACATCTGTAACCCCCTACTTGAAGACATTTATGTAACAACAACTTGAAAAAAGAAAAAAAAAAAACAATAACAAAAAATTTTCCACCTCTACCATTCAAACCGACTGGAATAAAGAAAAAAAAAATTGATGTACTCGACTGGCTGGTAAACTTACCATCGGTATATGTGCGGTACTATCTTAGCACTAGAAAATTGTTGGTCCATTTTCTAGAAACCGGTCAAGAGCTTAAGTAAATATTGTTTAGAAAAACTAATTATCATCAATCTTAGACGAAATAGATGCCAAAACAAGGAGTTACTTAATTGTATTAGTGTAATTTTTAGAACTACTAATTGTTGTATAAAACTGCTCGACAATCGAATAAATGTTTTTTTTGTTGTTACAAAGCAAATTTGACACCTTTTTAAGCGATCACCTTTGAAACAAAACCAAAAAAAAAGTAGGGAAAAAAGTTTAGCAATACTGAAAAGATAGAGTAAAAATAAATTGCCAACAAATTTAGTGCAAATTAATCTAAGCGTTTTTTTTTTTTGTCTCGTTTAGTTCATTTCAATTTGTTCAGATATATATATATATATATATATATATATATATATATATCGAACGTTACATAAATTTGTTCATCTGTTAGCTTTCGTTTTTTTTTTCTTGAAAATCATTGATATTAGCAGGATCTTAAATTCATTTGAGTAACAAAAATTTACACCTTTTTATTTGATCTTAAAAAACACTTATAAACTGATGGTTATCTATCCACCTACAATCATTCAGGTATATGGATTAATTTAAAACGTGAAAAAAACGATAAGAAATTAGCCAAATTTAATTGCCACCAAAGAACGACTGTATCAGTTATGGGGTCTGAGTTACTACTGAGCAATAAATCACTGATGTCAATCAAGGTTGCATTCTGGCAAAACATTTTCAGTTTCAGTATAATCGTGATATTGTTAAGCTCATTTTTTACTTTTTATTTAAGCCAGTATAACATCGGTCTAAAGTTCATTAAATACAGCTCAATTATTTTAAAGTATCAACCAAATTTTATTTATAAAAATATTCACTTTTCCATTGGATATGTCAAATTCTTCAATCCATTATTATCCTCATTAATAAACATGCATCTCCGTTGTAAAGTGGTTCAACATTGAACGTCAAAATTTTGCTTTTTTCTCACTCTTTACTAATAATCAATAAATTTTTGCATTGTATGTATAGA